TACAGATGAGATTCAAGATTGGAGATTATGATGTGTCAAGAGTTAGAACACTTTAGGAAGGAGGACGAAGCTAAGAACAGAGGTGGAAAAATGGGGACAGAGGAGATAAGTGCCATGGAATCAGCAGCAGGGGAAAAAATGTAGAAAAGCTGAGGGGTTTTATCTTGAAATAAGAACGTGTTGGGATTGGTGGAGAATGATCCTGGAGCAAATTGTAGAGATCACTTCCAAGTAGTTATTTGAAGAGTCCTGAAAGAAAAGCGGTGAAGATTTCATGCCTCTAGCTTAGATGTCTGTATGTTATATTAGGATGAAACAGGTTAAAGTCTGAAAACAAGACTTACTGGGTTTTTTCATTAGCAGTTTTTTTCAAATCCTTCTCAGGGTGTTTACTTGAGTAAAATTTTTTGTGTAATACAACTTCTATACAGTGCTTGCCATATGATGCCTTAGCAGAATCAAGTTATTGGCCAAACAAGTGTTTTGTACCCTATTCTAGCAAAAGTTCTCGTGGAAGAGCAGGCAGTTAAAAAAATACCGAACTGGAACGGGGTGGTACATGATGAAGAACAGGAATTTCTTATTCCCTTTCCCTTCTTATTTCTTATTTCTTTTTCATAACTGTCTAATACTTTGAAGCTTCAAACTTCCGTTTACGTAACTATAGTTGCTATTGATGCTGAAAATCCAGAGACTGCTCTTTAAACACTCAGTTTTGTTAAAAATGCTTGTAAGCGTAATGTAATTGTGTGTTTTTTTCTTCTTTCTCTTCAGGAACTCGCAAAGTGAACCTTACATCCTGGCATCATGACAAAGGCCAGGCAAACTTATCAAATATGACATTCAGTGATGGAAAACTAATTGTTAATCAAGATGGATTTTACTATCTTTATGCCAACATTTGTTTTAGACATCATGAAACATCAGGAAACCTGACTAAAAGAGGGCTTCAGCTGATGGTGTATATGACTAAGACAAACCTTAAGATAAGACGCTCGGATGTCTTGATGAAGGGAGGAAGCACCAAATACTGGTCGGGGAATTCAGAATTTCATTTTTATTCTGTAAATGTAGGAGGTTTTTTTAAATTAAAATCTGGTGAAGTGATAAGTATCCAGGTATCAAACCCATTGCTACTAGATTCTTCCCAAGAAGCAACTTACTTTGGGGCATTTAAAGTAAGGGATTTAGACTGAATCCTTCTGTCTTTAATGTGTGTTATTTTTTCCCTGGGACTCCTTTAAAAAAAAAAAAAAAAAAGATGGTGTTTATAGTTGTCCCAAATCAACTTGAAGACAAGAAATCTCTTAGGTCTCAGTTGCATTTGTATAAGCCACGTATCGTCCCTGAAAGACACATTTTACCCTGCGCTAACTCTATGCCCACGAATGCACAGAAGGGCAAAATTACACAGTTCTCCTGATTCAGTCTTATCCCAGTTTTGCTTCATATAACTCCCCTGGCTTCAGTAGAGTCATTGTGACTTTTACATTGGTGTAATTGAAATCAGAGCTATTAATATTACTGAATTTGGATTTCCAAATTTTGCCCTGACTTTCTCTACAAACTGTGCTATTCTGTTCACTTTGATGCAAATGTAGAGCAGGACAGAGTTTGGCTCCAGACTTGGATTTGGGGCTTTGTTTTGCTCGGGACTGAGGACTTTGATCCTGAGACAGCAAAGATGGCAAAGGTACGACTAAGTACATCGTATTTGATGTGGCCTTTAATATCCTTAAAGTTAAGCTTGTTCTTGCTTTGCTGGACAAGGACTGGAAAACTCAGGCCCTGGCAGAAAATTATAGAGCACCTAAGCAGTTCAAATTTAGTTTTACCTGATTCATAGGGCTATTCTAGGGAGAGGGGAAAAGGTCTGACCTCGCAATTCTAAAAGGTTGATTACAGGTCTTTTTTATTATCCTTGCACAGCTAATTGCAAATATAGATTGCCAAAGTATCGTGTCGCTTTAAAGTGTTAATTGTGCCAGAACCTGCAAAAACATTTTTTAGACAAAAAGTATGTATTTTTATATTCTGTAATATCTAAAGTTATATTTCAGGTGTAATGTTTTGTGTAAAAAATGTAAATTATATTGTCCTATAGTATGTGATACAAAATATTTAAAATCTCTTGCTGTTTGTATATTTAATGTTTTAAACTGTTTTTAATGTACAGACATGTTAAACTGGTGCACTTTTTAATCCCAATGGGAAAAATTGCAGCTAAAAGAGGTTGTTTGCAATTAGCAAATGTAATATATTTCTTTATTCTTTTTAACTTAATGGATTTCTGTTAAACTTGTCAGTATTATCAGGGGAAAAAAAATCACACCAATGTCATGAATAATTACACCAGAATGCTGGTCACTGGGTGCCTTTCAGACTTGGAGGGTAATTGATATTACAAAGCTGGCATTACTTAAAGTACATAATAGGCCACATTATGTCTTAAAGATACTATAGTTATGGAACAGGCATTTTTTCCTACCACGAATTCTGCAAATTGTAAATTATATAATTGAGTAATGACTTTTAGCCTAGTTTTCTGAAAAAATGAAGCTTATGCCATTGCATTACCTGTCCCTATCTCCCCTTCTAACTCTTTGCACTTTTCTGCCGGATTTGGCAGATGAATGGCAGTGTTAAGAGATTCTTACAGGTTTTATGAGAACTGACAGCTGAGAATAACTCAGCCATTTTACATTATTTGTCAGTGGCTGGCCACTGTTCATATTAGCCAACCAGTTAATATGGGAAAACTCCTAGTTAGCCGCTATGTGTATTGTCTCTTGTATAGTTGCTTGGCCAAAAAAATGTAGTTAGGAAGAATCTGAGGATGGGTGGTATGGGAAGAGCTGCACATACCGTGGGTATTTAGGGCATATCTGGGCAGGGAACAGCAGCTGTTGGGAAAGGAGTTAAGAGGGAGGTTTTAGGGGTATTTCATTCTGGGTGCTGATAGGATGTGCGGAAAACCTATTTAATGCAGTAGGAATCGCAGAAGGCAAAAGACTCAAATCTGTAAGAAATGAGGCTTCATAGAACTCCTCAGAGGCTTTTTTTTTATAAGAAACAGAGTTGAATTCAAGCAGTTATTTTATATGTATAATAAACATTTCTTTTTAATTTTAATATTGTTTTCTTACAAAATATATTTCTAAGAAAAAAAACTCAGTGGTTATTTTGCGTCCTTTTATTTCTTGTGCGGCTTTGGTTATTTATTCATATTTCAGAACATGCAGGCTGTATGGCATAACTCTTTGTAGAAAATCGAGGCACAAGTCTATTATTTTGGGACAGCTATATTGAACTTTATGGAGTCTTAATTTGACTCCAAAATTTTGGAAACTCCATTAAAACCACAAGTGTGATCTCAAAGTTAACATATTAAAAGGCAAAGATAATAACTTTCACCCATGGAGGCACATGTGTACACCGCTTTCAAGCAGGGGTACATCAGAGATGGGAAATTTAGCTGGAAACAAGGGCTTCCATTTTATGTTTTACACCAAATAGATATCAGATCAAACCCAGAAAAGGTTGAGGAAGCCAGGGTTTTTCTTTCAAATTTTCAAGTGTCACAGGTCACGCTCTTAAGAATCTTGTATTTCTCTCCTGTAGAGATGTCCAGTGGCGGGCTGGTGGGAGAAAGATACTCACCATTGAGTTGTGTTAGACCTAAGCTTGCTATTTGACCTCCTTAGCGAGTGCTCTGAGTACTTAACGGTATTACATGAAGAAGGGGAACCACCAGCACTAACTGCTGCGTCTGAATGACAGTGGCTGTGTGCCATGTGTGGGTGTGTGCTGGATGTACTCACAGTACTTGTGCGCGTTGAACCCTAATAAAGACACTTGCTGGCTACCCTATGAATCCTAAATCCCTGCTAGCTTGGGAGACGGCTCCTGAGGCTCAGCCTAGCAGTGCATCTATCTCTGTGTGCCCATTAGCAATGCTGTCAGCCTCTGAATTTCACAGTGAAATGTAGGGCCTTAAATTCCCCTTGTGCAAAGATTTAGGGGCCTAAATGATGTTGGGAGGAGGCATTAGTGTCATCAGGAAGCAGCTCTGTCTGTTACTGCTATGAACTGGATGGGAGAAATCTGGTAAAACAGGTCTCCGTGGGCTACTCCTATGGTTACATTGTGGAGCCATGCTCCGGCTATCCACAAAATAGAAAACAGGTGGGAGTCCTATTCTGCCTATCTTCCTTTGTGTGCAGTCTCATTCTTACACGTATGGAAAAGGAAACATGAAATTCCATGTAGTACTGTTAATAAAGGCTAATTTTGCTCTTATTTTCAGAGCAGTCCTGCTTTGAAAAGCTTTAGTGTCATTCAAGGCAGCCTTGGCAAGTATGCTGAGGTGACAGAGTAAACCACTTGTCCTAGCGCTGACATTACTACAAATAAATCTTCTTGCAGAAGTGTCCTTTCTTTTCTTCTATAAAAGGTGTCCTTGTTTGGACATGGCAAAGAGAGTAGGCTAATCAATTAACAAAGAGCGTTACCTTGCAAAGGAAGTAATGCCTCCTTAGCTAAGAAAGGTAAGTTTATAGTCTTCAAAAGATAATTATGGTCTGTGGGTAGAGGATGATAATTTCCTGAACTTTGAAGTTAAAAAAGCCTTCCTTTGAAACATAATTTATTTGGAGTTCTGTGTATGTGTGTGTATGTAAACATCCATATATTTTTACTGTGTGCTTGCAAAAAAAGTAAATTTTCGTGTATGGGGTTAAATTGCATATTTTGGCACCTGGGTGCGATTTCCCCCGCCTTCCCAAGCTCTTTCCAGCCAGTACGTGTTTCTTTTTCTGTCTATCCCACTTCCTTTTCTCTGGCTCCTTCCAGCTGCCAGTCTCCTGCTCACCCCACTCTCGCTGACTTATAGCTCTTTTTGCTGGTGGTAGCAACAGCAATGGGTGAGATATAGCCATACTTCCCCGCATCTGGGCCACATTCAGTGATTTGGCTGTGTATTGGGGTACAAAGCATTAGGAAAACTTGTCAAAAAGATTTTTCAGGTGTTAATGCAAAGGCTTAGCTGGATAGGAATGAAGAAAGAAGCCGGGGAATAAGAAACCAATGAATCAGACACACAAATCGGTCCATGCTGCCTTTTGGTTCGATGCATCAATTTCTGAAGACTCCAGACAATTTATGCATGCTTATCCTTTTGCCATTGCAAAATTAGTCACCAGCAAAACTTTATAGACACAAGCATGATCATATGGAGCGTTTTGCTGCAGTGATGCAAGAAAACTCAAATCTCAGCCAGAATCTGTTCTCACATGTATCCACAAGCACATGCAGGCAGTTTCTTCTTCTTTCCCCTTCTCAGTATTGATTTCTTGTCCAGTATTTCCTGGTTGCTGGTATCTGGGATCTCAGCCTGTGGACTTTGCAAAATACTGCTTTTTTTTAACTCCCCGGGATCTGATCCTGCAGAGCCCATTCATTTGCCTAATGTTACCTAGCCCCAAAGCACAGCTTGGTCATGAAAAGCTGAGAAACCTGTGTCAAGCTTGTTTGAATGAGCTTTCACAAGTTTACAGGCAAATTTGGATGTTTCTTTCTTCTACTTTGCTTTTAAGTTTTGCCTTAAGTGTCAATGATGTGCTAAGGTTTCTAACTGCATTTCCAAGGAAGTGGTTGGGCTGGGGTGGACGTGAGGGGCTGGGTACCTCTAATTTACCAATATCTTTTCACAATCTTTTTTATGAAGTTTAGCTGGAGCATATTTGCACACAGTTGTTCACCATGTGAGCCATGTGCTCCCTACTGCCTGCCTCCTTGCATGAAACAGTGCTTTTACCGAGGCTGCACATCACCAAACAGCTCAATTTATGTTTAGCTATGGCAGAAAACAAGCAGGAACTCCAATTACTTTCAGCTCCTTACAAGCTGCAAGTCACAAAACGATAGATCCCTTTTATTTTTCTAACCTTCTGGTTCTCATTTTACCCTCTGTGAGTTCCTTGTGTTCATTTAGCGGAGGATGCCAGAATCATTTTTTGGCAGCCAAGCTGACATTTTAGGTGCTGTCATGTCTTTATAACCAAGATGTAGCTGCTGCCTCATCCTGCAGGTACCTAAATCCCTAAGCCCCTAGGTTGGCATTACCAAACGTGAGTAAGGTTGCCTGATGGGCAAGGTCACCTTTCAGTTTTTGGGATCCCGACTCCATAACGGGAGGATTCACAGAGTGTCCCACCCCATCCCCTGCCCAGCAAGACACAGATTTTGGAACTCTTTGAAAGACGAGTGCAGCCTCCATGAAAGGCAGTTGCTTGCGAAGTTCAGATACTCCTCTGTACATGATGCTTTTAAATCAGGTTCCTCATCAGTCTGTTCTTTTTGGTTAATTGGACAGAATGAGTGGAATGCTGGGAGTGATCCCAAAGTTTTAGCCTGCCTAATAAACATTCAATTTATAGTGAGCAATGAAACAGCCCTATTCCAGATTATCCCAACCCTTGTTTGCTGGAGCAGTCACCCACAAGGGTTCACAGTCCTGCTTTGGCTGTGCACAGTCCTGCTTTAGCGTTGCTCTGTAAGAGATTATCCATCCCCTTGTTACCTCCTCCTTTGTTAACCTGGCATCTAGAGGAATGGAGGTACAGCAAGTCACATAACCTTTATAAACTTATTTTGCCCTCTGGGAGGGCAACTAATAACTAATGAAACTACTTTAGTTAGTAACCATTTGCAGAATATGTCTACTTTCTGGATAAGCATCTCCTAAAGATTATGCTTTCTGCGTTATCCAGAAGTTTGACCAGGTCTCCATTTACATGTACCACTTTGCAATGTCACTAAATGATTTTTCTTCTGTGAAGTGTCGCATGCAGGAGTACAGTTTAAGCAAAACAAGATCCCTGTGGTTTAATGTTTTATCTTTCATCATAGCTACAAACCTTTGCCTAGTAGAAGAACTACAATTCTGAAAATGTGAAGTTAGGTTATTTCTGGCCTGCTAACTGAAGGAGGGCTGGGGTTAAGAAGCTGGCCAATAGCCTTGCTGCTTAAACCTGCCTCCCTCTTAAGCAGACTGGTTTAACATGCTGAGATACCACCAGGTCTCCTTTAGGCCCCGTAGGGTAGGCCATATGGCCTAAAACGTAATGCTCTTTATGAACTTGAGAGTATGTACCTTGGGGCTTGACAGAGAGAGCTCCTTGCAGTGGGTCAGAACAGACCCAGTGAGAGAGCTAAAGCAAACCCATGTGGACAGTGAGATCCGTGTCTGAGCTCTGCCTTTTCCTTCTATGATCTATCGCTATCAGTAAGGAATGAAAAATTGAAGAATAATCTGGCTATGGAAAAAGTTGTTAATTTTCTTGCCAGTTCCTGGAAGCACCTGCCTATTTTACCATTTATTGTCATTTGTACATGTAGAGCTAAATTATTATTTATGTGAATTCTCACTTTCTCTCAAATGTTGTACTTCACCGCTAAGAAAAAGTAATTTTAGTTGTACCCAATTAGCCTTACTGTAAAAATAAAAAGTAATCTAATAAATCCGTATCAAATGTCTTGTATTACAGGCCAGTGTTTTGCGCTCTCTGGATTAGTAGCACTATATTCTGTTTCTATTATTATCTACTATCTACTATCTACTATCTGACTATTCTTCTTTTTTCAATCTGGTTGAAAATTGCATTTAAAAAATAAGATCTTTACAAAAACACAAGCCAAATAGAAATGCTGCCATGATTTATTTGAAAAAATACAAACAAATTTCCTCCAAATTGCTCTTATTCTCTAGTATATGCCATCTGTACATTTGCAAAATTTTGCTGATGTGTGTGATTTTGAAACAAAACAGTTCACATAAAAAGGATAATTGAGTACTCTATTGGCCCAGCTGTGCTGTGAGACTTGCTGAATGTGAAAATTTCCCCAAAATACATAAATTAGTTGTTACAATTCATTCAGTTTTATTAATCTGGGTTCATAGTTGTACTGCTAAGAGAGGGCTCAGCTTCTCACTACACTATTACAGATTGTTTATATATGACAGTTTTTAAGCTTTTTTGAGGAAGTGGCTGTTTTTAGTTTATACTGGTATTTGTCATTCTAT